AGGCGCGAGTATATTGGACCTGGAAAGAAAATATGACCACATTGATAAAAACCTCCGTATTCATCTTAAAAGTGTCAAAAACAAAAAGTGAAATATGAGCCTTTAAAAATATACTATAAGTTAAGAGAAGGCCGGAAACTTCAGTTTCGAGTCTACGAGCAAGGGGTTCATTTTCCGGGACGTTGTGAAAACATTTGTCCAGACAATTAAAAACTTTTATACTATTTCACGTTTGTATGAATCTTCCAAATGAGACCGGCCCCAAGCCCTTCCCGTTCATGAAATATCTATCAGGAAACGAGCGCATTCGTGGTAAAAATCTCTGGTATACAGCCTGGTAGTCCGGAACTTAACGACCTTAACCGGATTATTTAGACGTATAGATTATGATATTACCCAATCAGATGATTATATTTTATCATGTGATTTTTCTTAGCCAATAGATAAGCAGATAAGCCATATCTTTGTTCATTTTGGCGTACATTGTTTCGTTGCCAATTTTCCAAAGAAAAAATAAAACCACCTCCTCCAACTACACCACTTCTTTCAAATGATGCCAAGATCAGGGTCAATGAAAATTAGAATTATGATACATGCTTTCATTTATTTTTGTTTTAAAGTTGATGTAGTGTCTATTGTTTTCTTGTTATTACATAAGGTTTAATGTTTTTACATCTCGATACTTTGTATTGGTCCAGTTAGTTTCTTTCGGGAATCTTTTATTAAACTATGTTATTAAATCAATTTGTGTTTTAAGTATAAATAATGCTAGTTTATAACATTTTAAATACATGCACGATTTTCATTCAAATCATGTGTTGTTTTTCCCTTTTTTACCTAACGAGTTCTATCTATCTTGTGATTTTAACCCTGATCATGGACAAAACATAAAAATACTTATTATCATTCATGATACGATCTATAAGATAATTGGATGGGTTGATACTAAAGTAACATATGGATGATTTTTTAAACAAAGCAAAAAATGAGATACGTGGCTTAAAACGTGTATAACTAAACGCTTCAGAAACGAAATCTCTATCATTTTAGTTTTGATCGGAGTTTTGAATAGTCGACACTGGATAAGTTCAAAATGTTATTAACAATATATCTCTCTTCCATGGTAAGTCAATTAATTTTATGTTTATTGAGTCTAAGTTTAACTGTTTGTGTAACTATTAACTAACATAATATGCTGAAAAAATGTTATTCCTTGTACAGTGTTATATCATTTTGAAGTGATAGTGTATTTTTAAATTGATAATCTATCAAAGGCTAGTTTTAAAGCGAAATAAAACTTGTGACTTCTGCTAATTTACAGACCGAATCTAATATTTGATCATATATAGGGCAAATTAATTATTGTAGAAGTAATTAAAAAGCATAAATTTAGATTGAAAGGATATTAAATTTATAATTGTAAAAAGACCATGTACAGCCAAATACTCTGTGGTGATGTTAAGTGTTAAGCATGAGCATTATTTTCAATATATTCAAATCATAAATCAGACATTCTCAGATAAGTTTTAAATACATATTACACATATTGTTTAGTATAAAAATTTACCAACATAAAAATGGCCTTACAAACTCGAAGTCATGTTCCACAATTTACGTTTCAATGGATACAATTCGCAAAAAAATTGATCATTTTTTTTTCACTCTTGAGATAGACAATGTCCCTCTATTCTATACGTTTCTGATCAGGGCAATATTTTCTGGTCCATTTTTTAATTTGTTTGGCGGGTCAGAAATCATGAAAATAGTTCAGATGTTAATTTATGTCAATTCCAGATGAGGTATTTGAAATAATACTGTTTTTGATAGTCTGCTATTGTTATTACTTCTTAAAGAAGATGATCTTTGATAGAATAAATCTCAAACAGAGACATTCAATATGTTTTCAAACAGATTTACCACTCAAGCAAAATTTAGTGCATAACATAAATTTATAAAATCATAGAAATAAAAACCGAAAATGAGCACACACAAAAAATGACAAAATAATCAGAATAAAATATTGTCAAACTACAAGAAAACCTGGTGTAATAAATACTTTTGAGAAAATGAAAAAACTTAACATTAAACAAATTTCATTTAAATATTGAGTGTTAAACTCTTTAATTGCGAAAGTGTAACAGTCAAAATATGTCACTTTTGTATATACATTTTTTTCTTACTCAAAAGGCATTGTCTTTGACAACAGAAATATTTGTCATAAAAATAAATTTAATACGAGTACACATTATTTATAAAATATCTGCATATTAAAAAATACAGATGTCGATGCATCCTGTAAATAATAAATTATTGCAAAATTTTAATTTTTAAATAAATTGTGTGCCTCAGAGCTTTGATTATTGTATTTATATCGAACTTATCGTTCTTGACCAAAATTTGCAGAAATAATTTGAAGATTTTGCTTCACTGCCGAGATATGTACAAGTTTGTTTCTTGAAAAAAGAAGCATGCGAGAGGTCTTTTTGTAGCAGTAGAAGATTTGTTTAATTCGAAAATATGTGCAGATAGTTTGGCATTAAATGCACAATGAATATCTATAAATTACAATTATTTAACAAAATAGAATTTATTAAATATATTGAATATAGTATCATAATGACAGTTTGTTTTACACTTCATATATTTAATGTTTTAAAAGATAATATGCCGGAGAAATGGACATTTTCGTGGCGCATCAGGGATATTTTTCTACAAAGGGAACAATTTATGTTATCTTATCAAACTAAGTTCAAAACAAATGGTAATATTTTAAAATAGTATCAAAAAGGTTTCTTGTAAAATTCAATAAATTGTTTTTGTAACATTTCCTCTGCAATAGAGATTTTCCAAAACGGGCATAAAGTTTGTTAATCAAACAATTTTAAGACCCAGATTTACATAAAAATGTTTATATCATTTGTTTGGAATAAACAGTATAATAAAGCTGTATGCCTCTAACCGCAATATTTCTTGAGAAAATCGATTTACACAGTTTAAAGGATTAAAATGGAATGAACCATTGCTCGTAGTGTTAAGTAACGTAAATGATATTTTGCACCGATGTGTTTACTTCGATTTTAATTTTTCGTTTAAATCAAGTCGTATTGAGACTTGTTCTAATGATATAAGGCTTAAAATGCGATAGATTAACTTCGATTTGATACCCAAAATGGATGCCGCCAGCAAACCTTCTCGACAACTTTAATAATGCAAATTTAAGTTTTTGCTTTTTCTACTGGACAAGTCACTTCTAAATATCATATACGAGTGCTTGGGTGGATGTAGTGGGGGTGGGTGTCACCGTGCGAAATGAACCACGATTTTTTTCTATCCACGCATTGCCATTATCATTTACATTATCATTTATTATATGCTATTTTTATCATCACAAAAAACCGCGATAGTCTTTATATAAATCTTTAGATATATACTTTTTTCACACCGCAACATTTATAAAAAAATATATATTTCTTATTTTCGTGTTTAGATGGCTATATCCTACCTAGGGATACACATTGTGGATTGCTCAAGGATGGTGTGTAACGGCGATAATTATGTAATTATTTCAGATATTTTACTAATATGTAATTATAACAGAAAAAAAGTTCGTTTAAAGTAATATTTATCAAGATTTTGCCCTCCTTTTGTTAAGCAATGACGGAAACTGTTACAATGCTAAAAAAAAGTTGCGCATTTAATTAAAACTTCTCTTAAGTATTCTGTTAGGGAAAATATTTTTGGAAGATTTTATCATTTTGCAAATCCCTGATAGAAAGAAAAAATAGTTTTGCATGAATCAGGGCTGTTACAAGTCTTTGAATGTCCATGCGCATTTGTATGATGTTAATAAATTTAACACTTTGAATTATTGTTGTTTACTTTTTCTACCACAGAATTGTCGCTATGGGGAAATATGTGCAACGTCATTGAACTGTGTAAATGACGATAATTGTGTTGACCACTGCTTGCCTTGTACGGTCATATTATATTTTTCATTTATTTTGATTAATTTTTACCTTTTAAATGGAGGGAAATGGACAGTTCCCCGATAGGGACTTTGGATTCTTTCATTTGAGGAAGCTATACAGCTAGCTTACGGAACGTCGGTGGTTCTACTCAGGTGCCCGTTCTTGCTTGAAATAATGTACAGAAGGGCACCTGAGGTCTTCCTCCACCAGTAAAGCTGGAACGTCGCTAAATGACCTATACTGTATCGGTGTGACTTAAAACCAATCAAACAAACAAATGGATGAAATGGAGTTGCTCTAATTTGAATTTGAACAATCTTTTAAAAGCCACAAAGGATAATCACTTGCAGTTTCATATATTTAGGTGTGAAATCTAAAAACAGAAAAAGAAAGAAAAGAAACAAACTCTTTTTTAATATTCTCGTGTTATCATTCCTTCCATCCGAACTCATTGCATGTGTATATTAAAAATGTCAAGTCTATTCTATTCTTGCACAAACTAATGTTTGTTATCTAAGAAAGTTCATAATGATTTCAGGTACATGCGAAAATGGCGGCACATGCGTTTATAATATTACAAGTCCAAACAAAGCAAAAAATAAACAAGACGAAACTATACGTTCTTGCGTATGTCCAAGTGGTTTTAATGGAAACAACTGCGAAACAGGTATGTAATTTCTTTGTACATTCGATGTTGAATGTAAGTCTGGATTATCTGCCCCTAAGTTCTAACACGGATTTACGGTGGGAACCAGACTAGGTCGAATCGACGATTTGATGAAAAAATCAAACAGTCCTTATCATATCTTGTTATAATAAACAGTATAGTAATTGAGATATTAAAATCATATTTGCATAAAGCATGCACAGTGCCAAATATTTAACTATGAATATTTACTATGTTCAGTTCGATATAAGAGGTGGAACTGACATCGGTTACCCATCCACCAGGTGACAGCAGTTCAGTAATTAAACGATTTCCACGTTAAGTTTCTTTAAAATTGTACCACCAGCAGAATGAGGAAAATAAACAAGAAGTATTTCTGTTACATCTGATCCCCTTTCAAAATTCCATTTTATTTAGTTCCGCCCATTGTTTTCTCGTTTAGGGCACACGCTTTTTATTACTTGGGGACCATACGCCGCTTTTCATGGAATGGCACGGAAGTGTCACATTGAAGGTTCCATGATAACCGCCGTATGAACACATCTGCGGATGTTTCTAAATTCAAAATTTTACTATTTCATGTTTAAATGTTGAATTCTGCTTAAGCCGGTGCTAGGGGGCGTGGACGGTAACTTGCACTTTCCATTACCGTCCATGAACAGGCTCAATCAAACCGAGCCTGCAACATTTTCAATTTTGCCGTGTTGGGCTTTCTTTAGGGATTCTGTATTTTTCAATTATAGAGCATTTAAATTTCAGCAATAGACGAGTGTGCCTCGAACCCATGCCTTCACGGGACATGTGTAGATTTACATGACGCGTTCTTGTGTATTTGCAACCCTGGATGGGAGGGGGTGCAGTGTGACCAAGGTAAAACGTTACTAATTTAGTAAGCAAAAACATGTCAGTGTGTAACAAAGCATGTTTGAAGAAAAATTCTTGCTGTTGATACAGTATCACTGAAATAAGCCGAATTAAATTGAAAAACAACAACACAACAGCAATAAATTGGTGGTATATAAATGGCAATTTTCAAGCTATTCTAAGTTTATTTATATATGCGTTTTCGCAGCATTTGTTTCAGATAATGTTAGTTTTTACATTACGAAACGAACAAATTAGTACTCCGTTATCTGAGTCGCCAATTATTGTGTTACATGTATTTTTATGTTTTTTCTTTTTTGTTGACATTCACCAGACATTGATGAATGTTTATCTAACCCATGCGGAGAAAATGGTAACTGCACTGACCTGGAAAATGGGTATGATTGTGAATGCCCCTTTGCATATACCGGGAACTGCGACTGTATTGACCGTGAGTTGCTTCCCTTTTATAACATCACGTCTCAGTATATTGACTTTTTATATAACAAAGGTGTAAGTAAAAAGATGACATTCTATTTTTTCTGTTTCGATGTTACGTTCTGTAAGATTTCTGCACCGTTCATTTTATATTTATTAGGCGATGATTAGATTTGTTATTAGGAATTTAATGGTATATTATTTCAATGCATTTTGTATTCTGACAAAACACGACAGTTAATTTTTGCGAGCCACATTTTTTTAATTACTAGGATACTGTAAAGGTCATAAAATTATGTTGAGTTTGTACTTGCAATGGCTGAAAAATACCCTGAGTGGAATGAACGACCTTTCGTAGGCTAGCTAAGTAAAATGACCCGACCTTTTGTGCGCAAGCTGAGTAAAATGACATGACCTTTTGTGCGCTAGCTGAGTAAAATGACCGACCTTTCGTAGACTAGCTGAGTAAAATGACATAACCTTTCATATGCTAGCTGAGTAAAATGACCGACCTTTCATACGCAAGCTGAGTAAAATGACATGACCTTTCGTACGCAAGCTGAGTAAAATGACCGACAATTCGTATTCTAGGTCAGCAAAATGACCCGACCTTTCATTTGTTAGCTGAGTAAAACGACCCGACCGTTCGTGTACAAGCTGAATAAAATGACCTGACCTTTCGTACGCTAGCTGAGTAAAATTACCCATCCTTTCATACGCTAGCTGAGTAAAGTTACAGACCTTTGCACGCTAGCTGAATAAAATAATGACCTTACGTACGCTAACTGAGTAAAATGGCCCAACCTTTCATACACTTACTGAGTAAAATGACCTGACCTTTCGTACAAAAGTTGAGTAAAATAACCCGACCTTTTGTACGCTAGTTGAGAAAAATGGCTCGACCTTTCGTACCCTATCTGAGTAAAATGACCCGACCTTTCTTTAGCTGGCAGAGTTAAATGACCAGACAATTTTTGAACAAAAGCTGAGTAAAATGACTTATTTTTGTACACTTACTGAGAAAAAATGGCCCGACCTTTCTTAAGCTAGCTGAGTGAAATGAACGATCTTTCGCTGAGTAATTTGACCGACCTTTGGTCCGTCAGCTGAGTAAAATGATCCGACCTTTTGTAAGCTAGCTAATTAAAATGACCTGACTTTTCGTGCATTAGCTGAGGAAAATGTCCTTAGCGGGAATCGAACAAGCAGCAGTGTTTATGTTGAAAATGGCGTCGTAAGTGATTCAATTCTTTGTTATTTTGCTGTAATGAAGTTTAATCTGATTTATAGCCCTGATGGCAAACCTGGTTTACGGTTACAATGACGTATACGACTCGAGTGCAGGTTGGGGCGGACAAGCAGAGTTTGCTGTCAACCAGGATTTTAGACCAATTCACGCCAATCAATACTGTCAGCACAGTGCCACCTCGGACTTGACACCATCCTGGACCATTAAGTTGATCCAGTCATTCCCAATAAGGAGAATTGTTATAACGAACAGAATGGATTGTTGCTGTAAAGTCATTACTTTTCCTTTATAGTTTTATACTGTAAACAGATTTTTTCATTATTGATAAATCTTTCAGGACATACTTAAGATTTGGTCGGTGTAGAATTAGGTTATCAACGGAAGCAATGAGTAATGTCCCTTTCTTTGGTTTGAAAATAGCTGTGAAATTACTTGTTTTCAGTCCCGTGTCATCAGCTCTGAAATGTTGAATGTTGGAAATAATAGAAATTCGTCAAAAATAACCTCAAATAATTAAAAGAACACATTTTATCGGCACCATTTTTTAACAGAATGATGTCGCTTTATATGCAGAGAAGATAATTACAGCCTGTTCTACATGTATATTGAAATTATCGATATCCGTCTCATGTTTAAACAATTCGAGTAGGAAATAGTGATGGCCCGCGCTTGAATACTGAAATACACCGATGTAGTTTGAGTGATGGTCTTTAATTACTGATATACATCTATGTACATTAGAAAAATAGTCTTTGTTAAATGAAATAAATTCATATAAATTGAAATGATAATGAACAATAACCATTAAATTGTAATAGATTTTTAATGTCTGTGTATAATTTTTCAGCGGACAGGTTAAGAGATCTGAACATTACGGTAGGAACTGATATCTGCGCTACATATGTTGGTCCCGCCACTGGAATACAGACTCTCACAATCGAGTGTGATACAGATGATTTGGTTGGAGATGAAGTCACCATTACGAAGAATGGAAATGGACTAACTTTGTGCGAAGTCGAAATTTATTCATTTAGATAAACTGGTAGATGACTTCAAAGATGTTTCTAACAATTCTTAAGCAACAAGACTTTGACAACAACCAGCAAAACAAAACATTTGAATCTTTCACAATATTTATTTTCAGTCCATATTTTCTTCCTAACACTTAAGGTGTTTTCAAAATTGATCAGATATAAATAAAGAAATAAAGTAAACAAAGACTTATCAAATGTTCCTATTCATAGATGTAGAGGATTTGTTGAGATACAACAGACCCTTATTCGGAGTTTAATCATATATTGTGACGATGAATATAAAAACCTATAAAATGAATAATGCAATATGTAAAAACATGGAAATGAAAATAAAACATCATTCCAACATATTATATTTTAGATATTTCAAAAAATCAAAGTTAATAATATAGGTAAGATGATATAAAACCTCACCAGGTGCAACTGGCTGATCTTCTATTATACACTCAGAGGCTCTTATAACATGACACTTACATTTTTCGGTATAAATTGGTTATTTGTGAACGGAAGTTTTTCAACTTTTGAATATACAAAATTCATCATATCATACATATTTCTTAGAATTTTATATATAATTCATAGACAAGTAAATAAGGGAATGAAAATCATAAATGCTGCTACAAAATGAAAAATCACAGAATGCATGTAAAAATCGTAACAAAATGAACAGTATCGGAATCCCACTGAATCTGTATGTTAACCAGTTCTAATAATTTGTGTGTCCTCCAATGGCTGTAACAAAGTGTAAACACCTGTCTCATGGTTATGACGTAGTTTCTAATGAAGGCTTGGGAATATTATCACACTCCTAAATAAGAGCTTCCTCGAGTTCCAGCAACTCCTGCATCCCAAGTCACCAAATCTAAACATCACACTTGTCGGCTGAATTAAACAGGCGTGTGAGAAAGCGACCAGAAGCTCCTCGCAATTTGCTGGATATGGAGCAACCCCTTGTTTAGGAATGGAGAACTGTGGGGCACAGGTGTTTACTTTGTTAAAGCCAATTGGGATGACATACGAAGTATTACAAATGGTTAACATATTATTATACAGATTAAGTGAGATTCAGAGACTTTTCATTTTGTTACGATTTTAACAGTCATTCTTTTCTGTGATTTTTCATTTTACAGTTGTCTGTTTGTTATGTTATTTTTTCTTTTTCGTTATTTATGAATTTTAAATATAATTCTAAGTTGTTTGTGTCATATGTTGAATTTAGTAAGGACCAAATTTGAACAAATCCGATCACAAATAACTTATTGATACAGAAAAATGTGTCAGGTTATAAGAGCCTCTGAGTGTAAGGTTATTCTTTTACATGTTATATAGAAATTTTTACGACGCGGTCCGTTGCTGTGAAACATTGCCGGAATTTGTATTTTCACGCGCATGCGCAATCTGCGTAGGACAGAAAGAATAAATGAATAATGTTCTATAAAGAACAAAAATAAAACTTATCTTTACATAAATTCATTAAAGTTACATGAATGAAACAAAAACAAATATTAACAAAGAAATATAGTGCAAATGGGTCGGGAAACAAGTTTTAACAACATTAGCAACAGCCCTCCCCACAAAGTCAGTAAATAAGATATCATATTTATACCGGTACTTTTCATGCAATTATTTTAAAATGCCAGTGACGAGGAATACAAAATTATTATTATGTCGTTAATTGATAACTCAAACTAGTAAATAATTTGGATAGCATTCTGGTTGGAGACCTGTGGCATCGCAAATTTTTCATATTACAATATGTTTGACATGCTTTTCACGCGTGTTCAAATCACAATACAACACTTAAACAAACAACAACAACTACAAAAAGAAGCATGAGCAGGTATCATCCAATTGGAACACCTCGACAATAATTCATTATACAATAAATCCCACCCATAACGATATCACTTATAACGATATACCGCTATAACGATTTTGTTGCCGCGGTCCGAACTCTGTTTTTCACATTGATTGACGATCCGATATAACGATAACCGGATAAAACGATAAAAATCGACTGTGACCTCCATATCGTTATAAACGGAGTTTATTGTTTTGTTATGCGAAGTTTGATGGAAATGCCGAGAAGATCCGATCGGTGGGTAACATAATATAAGGGTACTATAAGCTCGCCTTTTGTGACTTAAAGGACGGATGAACCCTCTACATACATACTTACATACTTAGGATATCACTGTACATTTTATGTGCGATTTAGGCATTATTTGCCGATTATATTACCATATTTATATCTCGTTACAAAGGTTTAAGTTTTTATTTCTGAGACCAGATTATCAGTAACAAGCTAAAATTATGTGTTTACAACACTCACTTATTTTTCATATAATAAAGTCAACTGGCATATATCAGATGCAGCTAGCACGAGGTCATCGCGTGATCGCAGTGTGTTAAAACAAATGTTAAAATATGTCAGAAGGATATGACTTCATAATCTTGTCTTATAACGAAAACAATAAATTTTAATACGATCAAGGTTTTCATAGTGTCATGCTGACCTATGTCATTAAACGTGTCCCACTAGGACAGATACGAGACACTGAGATATTAATCGATAATTTAAGTGCGCGTGTATTCAGACAATAATTTTATAAACAAATCACATAAAGATAGCTTCAAGTATTTGATAGGCAACAGTAAATCGCCAATAAATTGTACATAAAGTGCCTTATTGTATGCATCAATTCTTTATAAATCCTATCTTATAACACACATACTTTTCTAATACCCCCACAATTTTATGTAACATAGATAGATAGATAGATGGATAGATGGATGGATGGATGGATGGATGGATGGATGGATGGATGGATAGATAGATAGATAGATAGATAGATAGATAGATAGATAGATAGATAGATAGATAGATAGATAGATAGATAGATAGATAGATAGATAGATAGATAGATAGATAATAGATAGATAGATAGATAGATAGATAGATAGATAGATAGATAGATAGATAGATGCCATATATTCAATACCAAGGATGACACAAAAAGAAGGCATAAGCCGACTTATTTCAATTGTGGCCCTTAGAATGATCATATGGCACCAGAAAGGCAAAATATTTACAAATTATGAAGTATTGCACATAAATTATTCAATCACAATTTCTTATATCAATTATTGCACATAAGTATTTCCATCACAAAATTTATCACACATGTATTATAATCATAATTATGACAGATATGTTTGACAATGGTACTACTAAAATATGCACTAAACATAAAAAATCTATGAATAAAAACTATGTAAAATGACTGGATTAAAATGACTACACGGATATTGATTGCTAGTTACACATATATCCCCATTGTTTTGTAGAAATCCTCGGACTAAATAAAGTACCCGAACTGCGAGGTCGGCTTTCAAATGCGTCCTCGTTCGTACGCAGATGTTAATCCACATATATAATATTATTCTTGTAGTACAGGGTGTGTCTTAATTTTGATCACTTCATAACGTAAGGCATTAACTCCATTCTTATAATCTTCTACCGATTTGCATTGTCCGGTCAATTTCAAATTCAAGCCTTTATGTTCATTATTATTATATTTACTTTTATTATTATTATTATTATTATTAATATTTTTATTATTATTATTATTATTATTATTATCATCATCATCATCATCATCATCAGGCCCAGGGGTCATTGATTTTCACTATGTACATATAGAAAAAACTTAAAATACCTTCTAGTAAAAACCCAAAAGGCCTAGAGCTAAAATATTTTGCATAAGGCATCATCTAGACCCTTACCAAGATTGTTCAAATTATAGCCCTGGGGTCAAAATTGGCACCGCCCCGGGGGTCATTGATTTTCACTATGTACATATAGTAAAAACTTAAAATACCTTATTGTAAAAACCTAAAAGGCCTGTGGCTTAGATATTTTCCATAAGGTATCATCTGGTAGACCCTTACCAAGATTTTCAAATTATAGCCCTTGGGTCAAAATCGGCCACGCCCCGGGGTCATTGATTTTCGCTATATGTACATATAGTAAAAACTTAAACACCTTCTTGTAAAGACCCAAAAGGCCTAGAGCTTAGATATTTTGCATAAGGCATTGTCTGGTAGACCTCTACCAAGATTGTTCAAATTATAGACCTGGGGTCAAAATCGGCCCCGCCCCAGGGGTCATTTGTTTACCTTATATGTATATAGTAAAAACTTAAAAAAAAGTTCTTCTAGCAATTGACAAATGCTAGAGGTTAGATATTTTGCATGAAACATTGTGTTGTAAACCTGTAGCAAGATTGTTCAAATTATAGCCCTGGAGTCAAAATTGCCCCCGCCCCGGGGGTCATTGATTTCTATATATACATATAGTAAAAAATAAAAAAAATCTTATTGTCTGAAGGTACAAGGCTTAGAGCTTTAATATTTGTTAAATAATATCATCTAAAGGTACTCTACCAAAGCCTCTTGTGCCAAAATTAGCCCCGCCCCTGGGAGCCATAGGTTTATCTTATATGTATAGAGTTAAAACTTAAAAAATCATCTTCTCTAAATTTACAAAGGATAGAGGTAAGATATTTTGCATGAAACAATGTGTACTGAATCTCTAGCAAGATTGTCCAAATTATAGCCCTGGGGTCAAAATTGGTTCCGCCCCGGAGGTCATTGATTTTCATTATGTACATATAGTGAAAAAAATTTTGTCTGAAGGTTCAAGGCATAGAGCTTTGATGTTTGATATATAATATCATCTATAGGTCCTCGACCAAAGTTGTTCAAATGTAAAAAATCTGCCCTGCCCGGGGGCAGTGATTCTCATTATGTACACGTGATAAAAACAGAAAATAAAACAAATGTTTTCTGAATAGGAGAAAGCTATAGCTTAGATATTTGACTTGAAATGTTGTTTGGTGGACCTGTATTAAGATTGTTATTAATCCCTTGGGTCAAAATTATGCCTTGCCCAAGGGGACAGTGACTTACTTTCTTGTCCTTTGATGTGCAGCAATGACATTTTGACCATGTGCATAGTTTTAGATGTAAAATTGAACTTTGACCTAGATTTTGATGATGTGACCTACTTTCTTGTCCTTTGATGTACAGCTGTGAAATTTGAACCATGCGGTGGCATAGCATTTTTCTCAAATGCAATCTTGTTTCTCTTGTACATACATTTGACATTAGAAATGTTTTAAACTTAACGAAAAAATGTGAAAAATGTTTGAGTGTATTCTTTACAAATAATATACCATTTTAAAAGAAATAATCTAAGAATTCTTTAAAAGTCCCTAATATTGGATTGAATAGTGACGTAATATTGGACGTAATGTCATCTTAAGTTTAGTAGATTTGTATTGAACTTCGTCAATCCTACAGGAACTGATGCCGGTTAACTACGTGCGCATGGGTTACCAAGTAAATCCGTTATGTTACCTTTAAATATACATGTGCATCATTACATTTTTAAACAGGAATTCAAGAAATGCACCATTGCTCAGTGCAGAAAAATGTTATACCGTTGCCAAAGAGAATTGGACAATATATCCGGAAAATCCAGTTTCAAATGGAACGAGTGTGAGTCTTACTCTAAGTGTAAAAATTAGTAATCGGGCAATATTGACAACATACAGGAAAACCTACTTACAGCTGATTGTTTCATCCTCAATATGTACACATGGTAAGTTTTGTTGATACGACACATACTTTACTTAAAGAAGTACATATTGTCAATGTTTGCTGATAAAAACCAAACCAAATGTCTTTCAATTGATAACTACTGTACAAACGAAAAGAAAAAAGTTAAGCTGGCACATATGTCGTAAATTAAATGTTGATTTCTGCTTATGCCGGTGCCATGTGGCGTAGACGGTAGTTTCTTTATACCGTATGAACAGGCTCACTAATACCGAGCCTGTAATATTAAAAATCAAGTCATTTTGGATGTTCTTTATTGATTATATTTTTCCTATTTTATTTCATACAAATTGATTTTTTATATCATTATTGATGATAAAATATATGAAAATAGAATCCCTTCAGAGAGTCCAAAACGGCAAATTTGAAAAAAGTTGCAGGCTCGGTTTGATTAAGCCTGTTTATGGACGGTACTGTCAAGTGCAAACTACCGTCCACGCCCCCTAGCACCGGCTTAACCAGTACTCAACATTTAGACATGTAATGGTAAAATTTGAATTTAGAAAATCCTCAAATGTGTTCATACGGCAGTGATCATGGACACGTAAGTGCCATTCTATGAAAAGCGGCGTATTGTCCCCATGTAGAAAATACTATGATCACATCCGTGTTATTTGTGCCGTGTGGCGGCTGTAAAAAGTCTCCCCGTACATTTAATCAATGATGTTATATTTTCGATCCTTGAAGATCGTTCAGCACGACATTGTTGTTGTGCTTGTGGTATTTTTAGTTTCAACTTTTCGGCATTTTCTAGTTAGGTGGTTCCAATATTCCTACTTGAATAATGTTGAATCACCCTTAGGATATGTTGCCTGCTTTTTAAATTTGTCTTTTGACGTCTTATCTGTGATACGCAGGCTTCAGAACCTCTGATCCCCTTTCAAAATTCCATTTTATTTAGTTCCGCCCATTGTTTTCTCGTTTAGGGCACACGCTTTTTATTACTTGGGGACCATACGCCGCTTTTCATGGAATGGCACGGAAGTGTCACATTGAAGGTTCCATGATAACCGCCGTATGAACACATTGCGGATGTTTCTAAATTCAAAATTTTACTATTTCACGTTTAAATGTTGAATTCTGCTTAAGCCGGTGCTAGGGGGCGTGGACGGTAACGTGCACTTTCCAGTACCGTCCATGAACAGGCTCAATCAAACCGAGCCTGCAACATTTTCAATTTTGCCGTGTTGGGCTTTCTTTAGGGATTCTGTATTTATCTGTTTTATTTATCTTGTTAGTATCTTTACAGATAACAAAAGAGATAATGGAGCAAAATACTTAATATATATCAATGTCTTGACTGTAAATAAGCCCAAGATTTAAAACAGCTTTTGCTTTGATTAATAATGTATATTTCACAAAACACATAGAAACATTTTCATAATACTTTTTGCTTACATTAAAATGCATACGCGAGTTATCGATTTTGCTTTTTTCATGATTGTTTACTGGCAAAAACAACTATAAATCCAAAAACGTATATTTGATTACAGTGTCTGTTGTGATAAATGAAATGACCATAATTTTGAAATAACCCATGAGTCAAAAGCTCTAGGTTAATAATATTTCATCGCTTATATATACATGTAAATATACACATTCGAAATTATAACAAATTGGTTGGGCGCAGTTCTAACACGATTAGCAATCGGCATCAGCAAAGCACATAGTACTTCTTATTTACTGCTCTAAAACGCACGCTTAATTCAGCTGATGGCTATGCATGTATTAGGTGGTGTTTAGGCCTGATCACAGGCAGCACTATAGTGGTTAATGTGGGCTAGTAACAGTATACTAAGAAGGAGAATATAAAATTTAGCATGTAGAAAAATAAAAAAAACATAACATACGTACGCCTTAGGTCTTTCAATCGATAAATGTCTTTTTGCTAAATGATAAAACAAACTCGTGAGGTCAAGATTATTCATACATTTTGTTCGTAGTAATTATGAATCAAAGACATATTTGTTTGTTTGTTTGTTTGTTTGTTTCATTTTACGCCTTTTCCCAACAGTATTTCAGTCATATAGGCAAAAATAGAAGCCCAAGTGTTGCAATACTGGCGAAGCTATAAAATGACAATGTCATTCTTATATTCATAGAAGGAGAATTATACTACTGTAAATCTTGCTCCTGGAAAAAAAACCCTCTTAATTAAACTGAAAAGTAGTGCTAATTGAATCATTTAATGAGCGTCATGTCAGTGTTTATATTGAACGAAAGTGAAAATAAAGAGACCCAAAACTAAAGATTTTACATTAGAATCAATTAATATCTATGCTCTAATTATACAAAATGTTTTATTTTTAATCATAATTTTCATTTTACTTACAGTAATCATTTTTAAGATTATAATTTTGTTGCGTGTAGCAATTTTGTTACAAGTTAGTTTACTCTTATAGATTACCAGGCGAAGGACGATGATTTCGTTTGTGATATAAATGGGAAACGTATTCCAAATATAATGAGATGTATATATGACATGGACGTAAACGGTTTTACTCTCGGTTGCAGAGATGGAAGTCATCTGAAAGATTGTGGTTTGTACACTAAAAAGCTTTCAAACTTAAACCAGCTGAAACCGAAAGTGATTAAAGTGTAAAAAAGAACCAGTAAATCATGCTTACCTTTTAGGTCTACATCTAAAGCAGTAACTTTTATATACCAAAATGCCGTTATTAGTCATTATTATGTAGCATTATATAGCAAAGACGGCCTGCTCATTTGTTCAGTTTGACCGAGCTTTAGACTAAATCTCGTTTCCTTTGGACGGTCTGATTAAATTTTCAAAAGAATCCAGTGCAGTCGCAAACCAGCAAAGCACCGGCAAAAAGCAGAAAAGGGCACAAATGGTGGAACAAGGAGGGGCGCTCCATTTTATAATAGCGATTTCCAAATTATAAAAGAAACCCTTAGAAAAATCAAGGATGTTTTAAAAGAGAACTGATGAAAAAATCATAAATTAAGTAGTGTTTTCCTTTATTTGTAAAGTTTCTTCTTTTTCTCTTTAAAGAAATTTCTATTAATGTTGTTAACTGCTATCATTTGTACAAGACCCCATCATGTCCATCATTTTTTGCATTCTGCTGCTGGTCGATAGTTAGTGTTTTCAATCAGTCATGATTGACTAGCTCATTTTTGTCAGGGTTTGCGTTCATATATAACTTTCTGTGGACGACGCTTTGCATCATCGTCGGATACCCACGATTGATAAGCATGTCACATAACACGCAATCATTGTTAATGGTTTTGCCGTGGGTATCCGACGATGCTTTGCCATAATTCGATTAAAGTATATTAATTAAAGTACATTCTGTGCTGGTTTCTGACCATTTTGATATCTGAGATCTGAGTTTTAGTTCGGAAAAATGTTTATAATATTGGACCATTGGTCTTATTATTTTCGTACTTTGATATATACATTGTATTGACTTTTTTAGAATAACAAGCATACACTAATTTGTTTATATATGAATGTTATCATTAATGACCAAAAAGAGTGTTTCTAAAATACTGATAGCTTTGAACTTGAAATAGAGAAAACATGAATTCCTAAAGAAAGTCCAAAACTGTCAAATTGAAAATGCTGCAGGATCGGTTTGATTCAGACTGTTCATGGACGCTACTGTAAAGTACGAAGTACCATCCACGCCCCTGTTTATACAGTAGTTATGAAATATAAACATATACAAAATTAATGTTTGATATTTCTGTTATATCTTTCCATGATTTTATAGAGAAATATGAATGTCCACACGATATGGTCAAATGTCCGAAGAGCTACTGTATTCCACAGCGGTTTATATGTGACGGGATCTTGCAGTGTCCTGGAGGTGAAGATGAAGATTCATGTGGTAAGAATATTTTAATAACAGTAATCAAAACAAAGGTATGTTCAAAACGTTTAATGTGCTGATCCAGTCACGTTAGTGTCATGATGTATTAGTTATTGTCTCCCATAAACATTGGAAAATTATTGATGCATAAAACAGTCACTAATTCATTTACTTCCGTTCATTGTCTTTAATCTTCATGAAATAGATCTAATATTTCAGGTTGTAATCCGTCAAGAAATGAAATACTTATAATTTATGATGAGGAAACTTCTGAAGGACCAGATATTATACAGTTTGCTTACCAATTTTCTACGCCAACTAATATTGTTCGAGTTTTGAGTTATAAAGCCTCTACACCTCTTCAAGGTTACGGAATCAATAACATTCTGATTGACGTTCAAGATAAAGAAATACACAGAGTTCAAAATATTGAAAATGAGTTTCAGTGCCGTTACAAAATAATGGCAAATCGTCTTCTTGATTCAATTCGATATACAAATGATGGTCCGAAAGGTGTTATTCTAATTGAAACTAATGGTGCGGCAGAAAGTGTTTTTAACGACATCATAAAAAGCAAGGCTGCATTAGAAACACACATAAATATATATAGGGTGAAAGAGAGGTTCAATGTTTCCACTTCTGCAGAAGTTTTAAGCCAAGGTGCAAAGGTTACGGACATAAATGTAAGAAGATGGAAACATCTAAACGGAATTGGTGCCGACCGTTTCAGTGAGCTATGTAAAGGTAAAATTTACAATGTATAACTTCATCAAGTACAAATTAAAAGGCAAAAGGAAAAGAGATAATTATGGCTTAAGATAGTCAACATATACATCGAATAAAACGAACATTGAATGTGTGGATGTAAATAATTAAATTTCGATATATTGTGAAATCCTCTTATTTAAAGTAATTATAATGTGATATACAAAGGAATAACTTAAATCATTGCTAGGGATCTAATAATCTCCGCATATTTAAACTTTTATAAATATGAAGCCAATGAATAACATTTTTTTTATATTCTATAAAGAAACAAATCGACAATTTAAATTGTTATTAAATTTTATCTTTCTTCACTAAAAGTATACTTGACATTTCTTCCAGTGACAACAAAAGTTTATTGTCCAAATGGTTACAAATGTGCATCGAGTCGATCATGCATAACTTTGGATCAAGTATGTGATGGTTTTGCACATTGTTTGCATGGTGAAGACGAAGATCTCTGCAATTTTCAATGCCCATTTAACTGTTCATGTACTGGATATGTTGCCAATTGTAGAAATTCTTACTTTAATTTGTCTATGTTGTCATCAGTATCAACAAATACGCGCTTACTTGATTTAAGTTTTAATGATGGACTCAATACCATTTTAGAGGATTCTAATCTAAATATCATGAGATTGTCTGTCTTGAATATTTCATATTGTAGCATTAAGCGTGTAAATATTTTTGCCTTTGGACAAATCAGGAACCTTCGTTCGTTGGACATAAGTTTTAACCTACTTACTGTGCTGTCCAACTATGTCTTTTATAATCTTAAACAACTAAAAGTTCTAAACATTCGAGGTAATTCTTATCTATCAGTGATTGAGATGCATGCCTTTGCTGGGTTGGGAAATGTACAGGAATTAAATTTAGCCAATGCAAAACTGGAAAAGATTTCTGCGGACACGTTTTCTAGGATGACTCTCAAAAGCGTGGATTTGTCAAACAACAAGCTCAGTGAATTAGGAAGCTTTGCATTTCGGGACTCGTCTATAAAATACATTAATTTCAAAGATAATGATGTCAAAACATTCCACAAGGATATATTCACTGGACTTATTGGTTTAGAAAAACTCGATACACCGGAGTTCAAATTTTGTTGCATAAGACCGAACTATGTTAAAGAAGAAAACTGCTATCCCCAGAAAGACGAGTTTTCATCCTGCGATGACCTCATGAGACATTCTGTGCTCCAGTTTTTGATATGGTTAATTGGAATAACAGCGTTTCTTGGGAATATTCTGACCATTTTATATAGGCTAAAATATGATAGAAAGAGGTTGAAATTGGGTTTTGGCATATTTGTTACAAACCTGGCGGTTGCTGATTTCTTAATGGCTGTCTACTTGATTATTATAGCCGTTGCTGATTCTGCTTTTCGAAAAAGGTCAGCTGTTTTTTTTGGTTTTATCATTATTATTATTTCGTTTACTTTTCATGTAATGGGCTAAGAGTTAATCGCTCACCATATACCCGAAAGGATGGCCCTGAAGATGGTTTCTAGGACCAATTGATTGAAAAAAATCAAAATTATACCTTTATTAAATATTACAAAAAGTACCAAGATTGAAAGTTGTTTTACCAACTTCTTTTTTATATATGCATTGCATCAAAATATATCACTCGCACTGATATTGTTGTATTGCTTATTGTGTCAGTATCTAAGCTATATAAAGCCGAAACCTGTGCTAGCATCGCCTATCAATAATCACATGTTAAACCTTTGGTTTGATATTAATGGATTTTGTGAAAGTCTAATATCTTATTGTCCTTGTCAATTTTTGTTGTAATGTCGAGGGCATCCACATCAGCACCTAACCGTTTTAAATTATTTATTATGATAACAAAAAAAGACAACAACAACAACATAACGATACGTTGTTGATAGTTCGTAATAAAACAAGATTGACAAAAAATTGAATTGCTTACCGAAATAGTTTTTTATTTTCATAAAATCTCTGAGGCATATTTAATGTTCTTGACAAGTTTCCATCCTTTCGCTAAATCTGGTTATGTGTTTCTTTTGAAAGCTATTAATTTGTTAAGATTGTAATTAGATTGAAGAAGATGCAAGTGTATCGAATATCTTGCTCCTTTAAACAATATTCTTTGAGAAAATACACTTATTATTAATAAAAGTACATTTATTATATTGGACCTAAAATGTTTTTATTTATTTGAAATTGTACCATTTTGACTCCATTAACCATTTTGACTTCATTAATCCCAAACAAAATAGTATTTCTTTAAGAAAAATATGAAAGTAAAGTAGAAGTGATTTAAAACTTTTAAAATCAAATATTACATTTTATTCTAAAGATACATATTTATGGACGACTACTGGAGACACAGTTTTTGGTGCAACCTTGCAGGGATACTATCTACCGTTTCCTCAGAAGCAAGTGTGTTATTTCTTTGTCTCATTACATTGGATAGACTATTGGTCATCAAATTCCCCTTTGGACGAGCCAAATTGTCAAAGGACAGAGCTGTTGCATGTGCGATCTTTACGTGGTTGTTTTCTGTTATTGCCGCCATATTTCCAGTTGCGTATGAAGGTTACTTCAAAAACGAATTTTACTCGAAGTCAGGCGTTTGTATCGCCCTACCTTTAACAAGGGATCGTCCACCAGGATGGGTTTACTCATTGTCGGTCTTTGTTTGCCTGAATTTCTTCACATTTGTTTTAGTTGCGGTTGGACAACTATCGATTTTTATTGAAATTCGCAAATCTTCTGGCATTGCAACAACTGTTCAGACTGCAAGGAAGCGTGATCTAAAAGTTGCAAGGAATCTTCTCTTGGTTGTAGCAACCGATTTTATGTGCTGGTTTCCAATTGGAGTTATGGGTAACATATTTTATATATGTCAATTTTATCTATAAAGTGATTCTGCATATTCAAATCTTAAAGCAACATGCCTCTAGATTCATGCTAATTTTCGTGAAAATATGTAAAATGTTTTTTAATTTAAAGTGAAACCTTGTAAATTCAACGCATTAGAAATATGGTGATAAATGCAGCAACAACACATGTTAATGTTTACTTGAATTTTGATTTTTTTACTTTTCTTGACATCTAAGTACATATATTCAAAGTTTGATTTTCTTGAAATATTTTTGCTCATCTTGAGGTTTGCTTCTTTAACCATATTACTAAACTTATCTTTAACAATTCACCACATAGATTAAACTGCTCAATGCGGCGTTTAATCTTATATTACAGCGTTAATACTCTTGCTATAATTAATGAAAGAAAGCGTAAAACAATGTTCGAACAATAACGCAAGTCACTTATATCTTTCAAGAGTTTGGCTAATTTTCTATTTTTGTATTGTATTAAATGGCTTGATGATCAACACTGAACATTAACTAAAATTGCTTCAAGTATTGTTTTGAATTATATCAATACGTTCTCTGAAATTGGACATGGAATATTAAGAATTGTGTAAATCATAATCTTAGGCAAAGATAATGCTTTTCAGTTTTTTTTTTCTGTAATTTCTTTTGCTACATAAGATACTCAGTTTTCATATAAAACGCCATTTCAGCTATGTTTGCACTGTCGGGTCACGTAATTTCCGGGGAGGTGTACGCATGGGCAGCCGTATTTATACTTCCTGTCAATTCAGCTCTTAATCCCATTTTGTACACTTTGAGTGCAATTATTGGCGGACAAGTAAGTAGACAATTCCCTTTTATTTTTGTTGTTTTTCTTTCACGAAAAAAGATTGAAAAAAAAGCAGAGAAGAGTTGTTAATAAACATAAAAACATTCACAAATATATCGATTTGAAATATATATAGATATGATTCTGATGTTTAATGAAATTACCTACCTTCGAATTTTAATCTTGTATTACGGAAAACAAAACAAATGTAAAGAATAAAGAGCAGAGCATGTAGTTAATATGTTTATTACAATTGTTTATTTTTCTAGAGATTTAATCCAAGTACAGAAGAACAATCATTTAAACAGATGACTGAAGGTTTGTAATTATTTTTCTTTTTGTATTACTTGTTTCACCATTGTTTTTCTCTGTTTTCAACCAAAAGTGTTCATGGTATTATAAAACGTGAATGTAACTAGTGTTGTAATTGAAGCGGTTCCAACTTAAGACATTTATTTTGTTTAGGTTTCATTTCATAAAAATTAGCTGGTACAAACCTAAATACAAAGGATGAAAAGAAAAGATAGGTTTACGCTTTCAATATGTTGCAATGCTTATATTCGGAAAAGACAAAAAAAATTGTTACATCTAAATTGTCTAATTGCTACATTGCACTTAAGAGATATGGACTTGGCAAGAAACATACCTTTTTTAAATAACTAATGTATTTTTGTAAAACGACTTATATGTTCAAAATGTTTAATTTGTAAATGTCAATAAATTACAGCACTATTGTTTCTCTATTGACACAAAAGTTAAGTACGCACGTTCATTAGAATCCATTTAAGAATTCAATTTTAGATTCTTTTTTTGTTTGTTTGTTCAAAGCGTGTTTAGACAAAATGCAAATGAAACTATTATGATTTTTACTTAAACTTTACTTAAACATGATCCTAGAATCTGAAAACAAAGAATTCAAAATATGGGGTTCACTGACCTTTCGACTTGTCTGCTCCTGCAGAAACAACATGTCCCGTTGCGACATCAAGAAAGTATATAATCATTTCTGGTATAGCAATTGATGAATTTCTTAAACAAATAGCTCAATTTATTTTACATTTATTTTCCGTTTATCACAATACATTTTGCACTTTATAACCGTTACAGAAATTGGAGAAAATTCGATGAGAAGTTTTACTAGCAGCCGTTATTTTTGTACAAGGATAAATAAAAAGAAATATCTGGGCGTATCTCAGATATCTGGCAAGATTCAAGTTCCACCAGTTTCTCTTCTGTCTATAGCCATGAAACTAGCGCGTACGTTAGAGATCTTACATTCTTGTACGCTTGGCATCAAGTTGCTTGAAAAAACATCTATTTTTGTAGGTGTCCGTAGTAACCAGGTAAGTTAAGATTGTTATATGATTGAATGTCTAACCCTTTATTTGTCGGAAATTTTATTATTATGATATCAAGCGATGTTTTAAAGTTGCATTTTTTAATGTGAAATATATTTGCATATGTATATTTTATGTATACTCATGTATATGCCTGTCTGCAATATAACAGATGGCTATGTACCATGTATTGTTAACTTTTATAATAAATGTATGCCATTGTGCACAAATAAGACTATAAATAATAAATAATATATAAAATGTAACAATGCGACCTGTGTAAGATCATAGCCTTCACTGTGTAAATACTTGTTTTGAAATGAAATTACCCCTTAAGAATAATGGTTAGTTTAGATTAAAAGATGGACAAGTCCAGGTAAGTTGGTCAAGGTTAATTCTGTTTTCTTATTTATTTTTTGTGTGTTTTTACAATTAATTAAATGTTGAATAGAATTAAGAAACCTTTTTATTGATAAAAATAAATTATTATTTCTGTTTTGCTTGAAAGACTGAGATTAAGAGTTACCTTCACTTGGACATTAATTTTATGTAAGAATATTAATAATTAATTCTGTGATATATTATTCAATAGCCAATAAAAATTATTATTCATTTTCTGAATTATGTTATGAATTGTCAAAACAAATTAAACAAGACATTAATCCCAAAAATAAATAAGAATATGACTTAGACAAAATGGTAACAAATTAAAAGGATTAAGTAAAGTCAATGTACAGACAAATAATTATGATCACCAATTTAAAAAAAACTGAATACCAGAATCCTTTGAAAATTGAACTTTCTATCAAGTCCGAGAAGGTCCGGTTTCCTTCAAAAACTACTGAAGGGAAAGTTTAAACTTCACATACTTAGGGAGCATTATAGGAGGACCCTTTTCAAGACGCATAACACTTGTTTTGATTATTTGATTAATGCCTTTTTCTTCTTTCTAAATTCCGTCTGACTAAAGATTCAGATCAACTTGGTTAGTTTTCCTTGTAGCTTTGATATCCACCGTATCTGTTTTGCAATGTTACCAAACCAACCTTTTCAGATAGGAATTTTAAGAAGTATCTAAATATCGTTGTCATTGGAAGAAAATCAAATTGTTGGTTTTTGTACGAAACTTTCTTTTGAAGTAATTTGAAACAAATAAACTGGAATAAAAGGCCTAGTTTTTAGTTGGCGAGATTGTTCTGTCTGTTTACCTGCCGTCTATATGGACAACACCATGCTTGTTCTCGCAACCGTGATCATGATGCGTAGCGTTAAGAGCTGATTTTAATCAGGCTATACTAAATTCTATATTATCCAGGCTTTTCTTTTAATATCAGGCACTGAGAAACTACTTACTTTATCTAACCTTAAAAGATACGGCCCATGTAGCAATGTATAATGTCACAAAATAAATGTTTTGTAATGGAAACAAGGTTCAATTGGATTTTTTCGTTTCATTTGACTCATAAAAATCCTGTTTTATTGATGCTTGATATTATAAAAATAATTTAAAATCTTGTTTTCTTTTGTTTCTTTCTTCTTTTAGCTTACAGGATCTGTGAAAATAAAAGGAGAACCGTTTATATCCTATAAACAGGAGGAAAAGATGGAGAGCATCAATGATCTAGGAGTGATTATAAGAAATATAATTTCAGCAAGAGAAAGAAACAAAAACAATAACCCTTAACATTCATGAATTCATTACATAATGTTTAACCCTGCTTTGAAGCTTCAACTGTCCATTCAAATTGATGGGATTTCAGTGTCAAATGGAACTATCATTAGTTAATGGGCCTTGTAAGTCTGCTCACCTTTCTTTCTGGACTTGCTACTTTCGGCTCGGGCAGTTCGAGGGTTGAAATGAATATTATAAATATTTAAACTACTTTTCTTAAATAATTCTGTTTATTCTGAAATTTTTAACATAAAACACACAGACTCCATGAGCATCTTTTGGAACAAGCAAATCAGACACGCTATGAATTGAACAAAATGTAAATTAATGTAAAATGACATTTCATTGAGTGTCCATATATTGCAATGCAGAGAGATATGTTTTTTTTTCTATTTTTTCATCTTTTTTTTAGATGTTTTATCAATGTTGTGATAATATTTGATTATTTTTCTTTAATTCACTTGTCCAAAAGTTATTACTTGTTTTAAAAGTCCAAAGTAAATAGCTTCGATAACGAACATGTTTTATTCATCAACTTAAAACAGTTAACAATAAGTGGAATTATAAATGAATGCTTTATGTTGCGAAAATTAACGTGTGAATTGTCAAAATTATTATACGTCTTCGAATCAGGCTTAATGATTTTAACACTGAATCGTGTTTATTTATCAGTATCAAATCAATTGAAATGAAGTGAATTTGTTTTTTTATCTAAATGTTTCATTTTTTTTTTTTTTTTTTGGACAATTGTACAGTACTTGTTTAGGTGTTTTCTTTATATTTCACTTATTTTAGAATGGAATTCAATAGAAATATTTCTTAAAGTTTAAAGTTTCGCTATTTTCCATTTAACATTATCTAGTTGACCAAATTTGTACTAGTTCTGGCCCCTCGGTTTAAATTTCCTTCGAGTTAGACGGACGCCTTTTTATACAGCTATAATAGCAAAAACAAATATTTTTTTCTCTAGAACATAATCTTTAGCTCTAGTACCACATGACCTAGAACTTCGATATTTTTTCATATTGACTTCTACCGTGTTAAAAGCATGACAACAGTGGTCCCAAACTGGTGCTGAATGGTCAAATTTTTAAACTTATAAATGTCCTTCATTATATTCGGATGTATGTTACAACTGAACATTGTTTATCATTTAACATGTTGATATTTGACCTTGGACCTTATTTGTCCCTTAAATTAGGTCAAAGGTCAAATATAACCTCCATAACTTTATGATTGATTCATATAGACTATGGCCTTTTTATGCGCAGATTATAACATGATTGTCATTTGACATGCTTCATAATTATTACCCTGACCCATAGTATTTATTTCGGTGAAAGGTCAAAAGTCATTATATTTTACATTTGTGTATGTTATTTCCTATATATGTAAACATAAGATACATATGATAATGTATACAACGTGTGTCATTGCATTTCACAAATATTTAATAGCAGTATGTTAAATGTAGCCTGGCTAGGTTTTATTCAATTATTTATTTTTTGTCCCCCGCCTTTTCGAAGAAAAAAGAATAATTTTAGTTAAAAAAGGAAGATATCCCATAAACCTACTGTTTTATGTGGTAAATTTTACTGGTTTTTGAGGAAAGGAAAAATACCACAGAAAGATCAAAGAAAAGGCACATTAACCCCAAATGTTGGCACGTCCGTCCGTCACACTTTTGTGTCCGGTCCAAAACTTTGTCATTTATCAAATGATTTGAAATAACTTGGCACAAATGTTTATTATAATAAGACGATGTGTCATGCGCAACAACCAGATCCCTACTTCCTAAAACAGTATTCAGTCTCCAATTACAACTTAGATCTGAGACATAACCGTTCTACTTCAAGTAACTTGGCCAGGAATTTTTTTAATAATGTCATTGATGCCTGGCTCTTCTATGACATCAGTCTTATCATCTAAACTCTTAATTGTTTATAAGATTATCTTCTATTGATTTAGTTTTACGGCCGATTATATTAGTTGATGTCATTACGACCCTTGTTTAATTCAAAAAATAACCTTTAACAACGACAAACCTGACCAAGTGGTAGCGTATGTACATGATATAGCGGCACATATCTCCACTTACACTTGCTCATTCAAGGTCAACATTGTCTTTTTGAGAGTATTTGTCGTGTCCGGTCCATAACTTTCTTATCTTTGAAGGGATTTTGTAAATACTTGCCACAATTGTTTACAATAATGAGACGATGTGTCATGTGCAACAATCGGTCACCTTCCTCAAAGGTCAAGATCACAATTGGAGGTCAAAAGATTAACATAGTCTTTATTATAAAACGATGTGTCA